TTTTCCATCACCTCGTACCCTCATTTCATATCACAACTGCACGGACAATTCACATGCCAATTATCATTATCATTTCATCACAGCACCGCGTGCCCACATTTCATATCACAACTGCACGGACAATTCACGTGCCAAATATCTTCATTATTTACTCATGGCACCTCGTGCCCACATTTTATTTTATAATTCGCCTGGCAATAGCCACAGGCTTTCAATTTCAACATAAATCAGATTGTTATCAATTTACCAACAATAAGACAAATTGCACAAGGTATAAAAGTAAACACAAGAAACTCACAACATTACATGAAAATTATCAACACCACAACCCCACATCATCACATATCTTCCCTGACAATAGCCACTCTTATCGCTCATATTGTTACACTTATCACTCCTATAGCCACCCTTATCGCTCCGCCCAAACAATACCAATAATCACTCTTATCGCTCCTATTGCCACCCTTATCGCTCTTATAGCTACCCTTATCGCTCCGCCCAGACAATATTCTAACAAACATAACAGTGAAATGCCACCCTTACAACCACATAATATCAACGGTGAAATGCCACCCTTATCTCCCCAAAATAACAACTCACACAACACAATAATTTACACAAGAAATTATCACAGCAGCATAATAAAATCAATTCATATCACAATTTGCCCAATGACCACAACCACATTCCAAAGATATAACAAAATCAATTAATTTCACAACAAATAGCCCAAGGCTCCACACAATGTATATAACACCCAAAAACAATCAATAGAGATAGANCCCAATGGCCACAACCACATTCCAAAGATATAACAAAATCAATTAATTTCACAACAAATAGCCCAAGGCTCCACACAATGTATATAACACCCAAAAACAATCAATAGAGATAGAAATTACTCAACATAAAGCAAAGTCTTCATTAAATTCAACTTTTCAATAATTATATAAACACCTCTTCTTAAGCTCATTTAATTAATTATTTGCAGAGGAAAATTCATATTGAAATTAATTTCCAAGAAATATTAAACCAACAATACTCACGAAATTTCATAAATATTTCAAGTAACAATCACATCAAATTATCATATAAAATCAAATTCAACAATAAGGATTTAGGCATGGCAAACAAATAATTTAATAATTTTCTATAATTTCCCAATTTACTACACAATAATGCCTAAGACTTAAATATTTATTCCAAAAAATCAACAAAAGTCAACGCGGGGCTCGCCCCTCAAAACCCGACATAATTTTCATGAAATTCGAACACCCATTCCAATACGAGTTCAACCATATCAATTTTATCTAATTCCAAGAATAACTCGACCTCCAAATCTTAAATTTTTGTTGTTGGAAGATTTTATAAAAATCTTGATTTCTTCCATTTAAATCCGAATTAAATGATGAATATAATCAGGGATTCATGAAATATAAACACTTTAGGATATAGAACACTTACCCCAACCAAGCTTGTGAAAAATCCCTCAAGAATCGCCCAAATCAGAGCTCCAAAAATCCAAAAACAAAAATGGCAAAATGACCAATTTTAGGTCCTTAACATTCTGCTCGCGTGTCATAATACATATTGCGAAACTGTTCGAGATCTTAAGCCACTGAACGAGGCATTAATTCTTAAAACGATAAGTCGGGTCGTTACAGTATGTGTGTGTAACAATAATGTATTATCATTTGGACAACTAACACCGACCGAATTCGGACGGTATTTTTATAATTATATTAAAAGTAATTTATTATTATAAAAAAATAATTGACGCAGGGCGAGAAAAAATAAATTAGTATTTCCGACCGATATCGGTCGGTATTTTTATAATTATATGATAAATAATTTATTATTATAAAAAAATAATTGACGCAGGGCGAGAAAAAATAAATTAGTATTTCCGACCGATATCGGTCGGTATTTTTATAATTATATGATAAATAATTTTTTATTATAAAAAACAATTGACGTAGGGCGGGAAAAAATAAATTAAAAGTTCCGACCGACATTGGTCGGTATTCTATAATTATTTTAATTAATAATTCTTTTATAGATAGTATGCAAACTTGACTTGGTAGTGTCAGATAAAGCAAACTTTCTTTTTGTGGGATCACATTAACCGACCGATTGCGGTTGGTATTCTTATTTATAATTTTTTATTTGATTTTTTCGATCATTTTACTTTATTTCCGACCAATTTCGGTCGGTATTTCTTTCCGACCAATGTCGGTCAGTATGCTTTGGACGCTTTTTGAGAGTTTTTTATTAGTGTAAAATTAAAATTTTAATTTTTTTTATTACTTTTTATCGAATAATCAATGTATAAAGTCTAATTTCTTGTTGATTTTTTTCCAAATCACCAACTTGTAGCAAAGTAGATTTGCAGTCGTACCCTATATTTGTGCCACCTTTTAATATGTACCCCATTTTTAAAAATTATTGATTTGGTAGCCAGTTGACAAAAAATTCGTAATAATATGATAATTATACCCCTGATATTATTAGCATTAGCATGCTACTTTGGAGATGACCTCATTCGCATTAGCATACTGTAAAACAAGCCCTGATAAACGTAGCAGCATGCTAACGTTTGGAGATGACGTTGTTTTACAATACCAGGAGTTATTCATTAGCACGTGAGATGGTGTAAAACTCCAGCCAATTACAGTAGCAGCTGAAGTTGTTTTACATTGAAGCTAAAACTTCATGCTAATGCATGTTGAAGTTATTTATCCTGCAGTCAACAGTTTTGTTATGAGTTTTATCCAAAACTTCAGTCTAAATATGCTGAAGTTATTTAGTTTATTTGCTAAAATTTTAGACTAAACATGCTGAAGTTATTTAGTTCATTTGCTAAAATATCAGTTTAAACATGCTGAAGTTATTTAGTTCATTTGCGAAAATTTCAGACTAAACATGCTTAAGTTTTTATCTTGCAATATGTAATTTTCTAATGAGTTTTTGCTAATGCATGCTGAAGTTATTTAGTTCATTTGCTAAAATTTCAGACTAAACATGCTTAAGTTCTTTAGTTCATTTGCTAAAATTTCAGACTAAACATGCTTAAGTTATTTAGTTCGTTTGTTAAAATTTCAGACTAAACATGCTTAAGTTATTTAGTTCATTTGCTAAAACTTCAGACTAAACATGCTGAAGTTATTTAGTTCATTTGCGAAAACTTCAGACTAAATATGCTTAAGTTTTTGTCTTGCAATATGTAATTTTCTAATGAGTTTTTGCTAATGCATGCTGAAGTTATTTAGTTCATGTGCTAAAATTTCAGACTAAATATGCTTAAGTTATTTAGTTCATTTGCTAAAACTTCAGACTTATCATGCTTAAGTTATTTAGTTCATTTGCTAAAACTTCAGACTTATCATGCTTAAGTTATTTAATTCATTTGCTAAAATTTCAGACTAAACATGCTTAATTTATTTAGTTCATTTGCTAAAATTTCATGCCAAAACATGCTGAAGTGTTGTCTTGAGTCTACAGTTTTGTCAATAGTCCTGAAGGGCAAAATCATTTTTTTAAAACACTTTTAACCAAAAAATGGGTACGGATGCAAACGGAAAAATAAAACGGGTATAAGTTAAAAGGGGGCGACCAAATAGGGCGCCCCATGCAATTTTTACGTTAGGTAACATGTCACGTGATGTCCCACTTTACTAGAACGTCAATGCCACATGAGATGGTTTCCACCTCGATAGCTCTAACGAAAGAGGTGTATATTTGAACTACTTGAATAATATCAGGGATATATTGTTACTGAAAGTATAATAGAGGGTAAGATTGATATTTCTCATAATAAAAAAGGGACAAATTTAACCCTTTCCCCAGTATTAAATTCAATTAAAGTCAAATATTTTAAATATAAATCCATGCAATGTATCCATTGAAATTTTATAAAAGTATTTTGTGATGAAGTCGTATTTTAAGTAAAAAGTAAATTGACAAGAATCCATTTTGATATATTGCTGATTCAGTTAAAAAACAAGAAAAATAACATTTTATGGCGTAATTATATTAGAGGAGTTTTATTGTAATATACTTCATCTGTTTTAATTTATGCGAGTTTATTTGATTGATCACCGAGTTTAAGAAAGAAACGAAGACTTTTAAAATTTTTGAGCCCAAACAAGCCATAATATTTATGTGGCTATAATTCTTTTGAAACTTGTGGTATTAAATATGTCATAATATTTATGTGGTTATAAAAGATTCTCGTTGAGGACGAATTAAAAATTTAGATTATGGGTATCAAAAGGGCTAGTTAGGCTGATTTTGGACAAGTTAGAATGGGCTGAGTCAATAATGACCCGCCCAAAAGTTACTTGAGTTGAGATGAGTTGGGTCAAGAAAAGTTAAAATTTGGGTCATAGCCAAACCCGCTCAACTCTTATCAAGCTTTAAGTAATGTGTGTTGTTTTCTTATGAATTGTTTAATTATCAAATAATATAATTTTTCTTTTGTTATAGTCATAAATAACATATCAAACCAAAATAAAAAATTTAAGATATTTTAGCAAAGTAATTCATGCATCAATTTGGGCTAAAATCTGTCCAACTTTAGATGGACTGAGATATACTGGGTCAAGATGGACTGAGATCAACAAATAGGCAGGTCAACGATCGGCCAACCTTAGGTGGGTTGGGTGGGTCAAATGGGTTAGGGCTCAAATTGCCACAGTTTAAATTAAGTTCTTTCCTTATTTAGAGAGTTGTCATTTTTTTAATACAGAGTAAAAAGTAAATAAGTTCACTTAAACTAGAACAGAGAAGTATAAGGTAGACAAATGAACCTGATGTAGTTAACGGGCCTTTGGTAGCTCCTTCTGAGTCGTATATTTTTGCGCTGGAGAACACTCATGAACCACAAAATCTGATGTTCAAAGTTGTTCGTTAGAGAACCGAAATCCTGTATAAACTCTTCGGTCCAGTAAAAATGAGACGGAAAATCCTCTTTCGAGGTGCTAAAGCTCTTATTAGTTAGAAATCACCATTCAGAAGGGTGCAATCCATAGTGCATCCTCGAGAATAAAGGATGGTTAATGGAAGTATAATGAAATTGCCCGAAGACTTAGTGTTCTATATACTATTAAGATGTCCGGTGAAATCTCTCATGCGATTCAAAGGCATATCTAAAGCTTGGTACAATTTCATACAATCCGCCACTTTTATAAATCTTCATCTCAACCGCATAACAACCATAGAAGACGAATTCATTCTGTTCAAGTACTCCATCAAAGAAGAACCAGAAGAATTTAAAAATGTATTGTCTTTTCTTTCTGGTCATAATGATGCTCTTAACCCTCTTTTTCCAGATATAGACGTGTCATATATGACCTCCAATTGTAGTTGTACTTTTTTCCCACTCATCGGTCCTTGTAATGGTTTGATTGCTTTGACAGATTCCATTACCATCATCTTAATTAATCCGGCTACTAGAAATTTCAGATTGCTCCCACCTAGCCCTTTTGGTTGTCCCAAAGGTTTCCATCGTTCTGTTGAAGAGTTTGGGCTTGGGTTTGACTCGATTGCGAATGACTATAAGGTTGTTAGGCTTTCTGAAGTGTTTTGGGATCCTCCTAATGATTATCCTGGTCCTAAAGAGAGTAAAGTTGATATGTATGATTTGAGCATTGATTCTTGGAGAGAACTGGATTATGAACAGTTGCCATTGATTTATTGGGTGCCTTGTGCTGAGACATTTTACAAGGAAGCGGTTCATTGGTTTGCAACTATAGATTTGTCTATGGTGATTCTTTGTTTTGACGTGTGCACTGAGACTTTTCGTAATATGAAAATGCCCCATACTTTTATTTTTGACAACGAGCAATATTGTGGTCTTGTAATCTTAAGTGAGTCTCTAACATTGATTTGTTACCCGAACCCAATATCTATTGATCAAATACAAGAACTAACGCACATTTGGGTGATGAAGGAGTACGGTGTAAGCGAGTCTTGGATTTTGAAAGACACAATTAGGCCTCCTCCTATTGAATCTCCGTTAGATGTTTGGAAGAATAATTTATTGCTGTTTGAAAGCAAAAGCGGACTTTTGATTTCCTATAATCTTAATTCCGATGAAGTAAAGGAACTCAAATTAAATGGTTTTCCTGGAAGTTTGAGTGTTAAAGTTTACAAGGAATCCTTAACTTCAATCCCAAGAGGGTTAAAATTATAGAGACGATTTATTGTTTCAAATTTGATGAATTAGCACCTAAATTTTGACAACTTTTTTTCCCGAAGATTTTAATTATATTGTTGTAAAAGGTGGCTTGTTCACTAAATTATGCTAGTTATGACAAAGGCTTGCCATGTCGTATTATTAGAATTTTTCATATTATTTATTTTCACTCGCATCGATAATTCTGTATCCAGTTTAAATTGCTAAATTTACAGCATATTATCAATCTCTTATTTTTTGTAAGTAGATAGGTATCGATTAACAGATATATTATTTTCAATATCGATACCATATTTTGTAGGATCACGTTATTGTATAAAATATTTCAATTGGAAAGTATGTAAACAAAGTTAACACCACAACCTTAGTAGATGTTCATGCACTTGTAACATCGGTTTTTGGGATATTTGTATACGGTCAAAACCGGTTAGTCCTTCGTACGAACTGGTCGAAATAATAATGCTTTGGATCGAAGAGCGTCTTCATAATATCAGGTTGAGGTCCGAAGTCAGGTCATCAAGCTTCGAGCCCTAGGGACCGATCAATGTCGAGCTCGTTATCATTATCGAGCTCGATTCCAAATCGAACTATGATGCGAAGTGGAGTTATCCAGCTTATGAGGCAGAGATCGACCAACACTGACCCCGAATCAATACAAGGCTACGAGTCAGAATCGAGCTCGAGTCAAGATCGAGAGCTCGACTCGATATCAAGCTCGAGAAATAACGAGCTCATAGACAAGAGCCGTTGCAACCGCACTAGAGGAGAGAATCATGGCAGGAATTATGG